TTTTCTTGGTGCACACTCTTAGAATTGACGTAGTGCAGAAACAACCACAGCATGAGTGGATGCTGAACCTAATGGTTTGAGTGAATATTGGGTTGGATCCAGGGGTCATTTCGTACAAAAAGAGCTAGGGGAACTCATTAGCATAACTCATTAGCATATGCCACACCCCCTGACATCAGGGGCTTGGCGGTGGACCTGCAGGGCCAGCGGGAGTGCAAGGAAGCCCCGCCAAGGCCCTCCCTGGCCCCAGGCAGGCAGGGGTGGGGAGAGGCGGGGAGAAAGCAACTTACCCTCCCTCTTCTCCTGCCTCCTCCTGGCTGAATGAGGGCTGGAAGCGGGGCGGCCGGAAGCAGGGGGCGGGGCTTCGTCATGTGCCCTGCCCCCCTGCATCTCACCCGGGGGAACTGCGTTCCCTCGCGTTCCCCCCCAAAATGACCTCTGGTTGGATCCAACAGAAGAGTTCCTGGAAGGAGTTGGTGGAATGAATATTTCCCTTCCTTATACTTCAACATTTTGCTCTAAAAGTCCTTTTGGTGGATTAGGAGAGACTCGCAAACAAAACGAACCATATTATGGGGTACAGGGGCCATGAGATGGAATCAGATAAAGGAGCTTCCTTTTCCCTTTTTGACCGATGCAAGTTTTCAACAGAAGAGGAATAAGACAGTTATTGCATTTAGATTTCCCCACTCCAATGGCTGCAGTCCCCTTACCATGGTGCACTTTGTTAGCAAGACTATCTCAATGAAGATTATGGGGACAGACCGTGGACTGCTAGGGACCAGCAATGTGGGCAGTAGGTTTTGTTGTGCCAATTTACAGAATCCATTTATGGAGGCTCCCATGGTCATGAAACATCCCCTCTCCTGTAAGAAAACTGAGTTTTCAGTGGGGATGAGGGTATTCCTACAAAACTGATCCACAAGTATTGGTCCATCTCTAGAATCTGGCACAGACCTTGGGACACATGAACTGATAGAGGGGAAGCTGATGGTCAAATGATCCCATCTGGGTTGTCAAATCTTACACTCATCCATCGTTCTATACAAGTATGATGTGTGTTCAGAAGATTTGCAGTGGTTGCTAAGAATAACACTGCAGGAGGTTCTGTATTAGAATTAATAATGTCATCTGGGTAAAATACTCTCCTTAAATTTCAGACATAAATTAATATCTTTATATTATCTTAATAATGACACATTGGTGTCACACATGACCTCAATAAGAACAATTGTCATTTTTAATGAAGTCGGAAGAAAAAGCTCATTCCTGTATACGGTGAGGAATGTCCTTAGCTCCTACAGCATATATTCTCTCCCCATGAATCCATAATGTTCACTATACAATAGTTTTTTTCCTGCAATCTTCCTCTCCTTAACCTAGCCTCTTATTCAATTATAATGCTCGAATGAGTAACATGCAATGTTTCCAATCCACTTTCCCTAGCTCCTGAAACTTTTTAACGAAATGTTAGCATTTGCAGACACCAGATGTTTTGACATAAGGAGTAGCAATATGCAAATTTTAATCCATGCTAGGAACAATAGCCTGCAGGCACTTTTTACTTATTACATGAATCATATACTTAACCACAGTGTGGTGGATTATATCAGAATCTCACCATCCTGAGCATTCTACACTTGTCTTGTAGTTGCCAATTAATGAAACTGATATATATTTAAGGTGATGGGTATCAGTGATTTAACCAGCATCACTTGGCATACTTTACTGCTGTAGTTTCCTTGATTAGATTTTTGGTCTTGACACTTATTAGTATCAAAACTTCACAGGGCTGTGTCTAATCGACAGACTGTCAATAGAAATAATGCTGACATCAAATTTGATTGGATGTCTTTTACTAGTGTCATTGTCTCTCACTGAGTAGGCAGTGCACAAAGTTTCTTAATTTGTATATTGTGATTCAATTTTCTCCCACTATTTAACCTCAAAGAGCCCAATTCTGCTGGGTGCTGAGAACTAATGGGCTTCAAAAGCAAGGAATCGCTCACAGGTTTAGATTTTAAGTGAATGCAATGTGCAAAAGCAAACTCCATTTATGGCTAATCAAATTCTAAATTAAGTGCAAGAGGACTAATTAACTTTTAATGTTTGCTGCACTATAGTTAAAACAGTTATAATGAAATAATTCAAAAGCAAATAAGTCCAATGTCTATTTAATGCTTTCTAAAGGGAAAAAAGTTCACGTTTTAAGATATAAACAAAGACTACAGAGGCATGCTAAATTGTATTCCTGTTTAATCACTGTGGAAACTTCCTTCATATACATAAGCTAGCATAATATATTCAAGAAAAAACAGCACTTTTGGTACTGAGCTTTTCAAATGCTGAAGCTCAGATCCTTACTTATATTAATTAAACATGGGTATCTTCAGAGTGCAAAAATGTTTTCTAATTATCTGCTTTCTCAAATGTTTTATAACTTAAAATACAATATTCTGTTTATCCTAAATTGTCTTGGGAACATCTAGTACACTAAAAAGGGTTTTTTAGGGCTTCTTTGTAAATTAACTGTTATCATCTTTGCCTGCCAGCAATTTTGCAACATTTGGAAAATGCTCCCCATAAATCAAAGCCTTAGCAGTAGGAATAAACAGACAGAAGAAGATTGTATTAAATATATAATGGGAGGTTAGTGGATCATGATGTCTTATAGTGTCTAGCAGTTGTTCAACACCTTGCCTGCTTAGGATATCCTTGCAGATGTGTTTAGCAGCTGTTATATTATCTTCTTGCTTTACTTGATGCTTAGTGGCTATCTAAACTAAACATGTTCATGAGCTATTGTAACATCTGGTTGATTTTTACACTCCTATAACAAACATAAATACCAGCCCATATTAAAAAGCATTTTAATAAAGATTGCATTCTGTAATAAAGCATATTCAGTTGCATACAGTTACTTAGAAAACAAGAGATTGTATTAAGAGTGAAAAATAGCAATTATTATAAAAATGACTCTACAGTCTTATAGCAATGTAAATGTCTGAACTGATCTAAAAGACTTAATGTAATTTTAAATTACAATAATTTTACACTCTCCATTTTATATACAACCCTATTACAGTCAAATGTATTATAATAGCAATGTTGTTATTAAGATTAAGTGACTGAATTATCTTCAGTCCTTTATATTAGAAAGCAACAGCATTCTTGTTGTTTGACAAAAAATAATGTTTTCACTTATTTTAGCGGGGATCTCTATACAGCATCCAACTGCAAGCCAGAAAACACTGTAGGTGGGTTTTTCCCCCTACTATGAACATCTATCACTATTTCATGAATTAAACAAGACAGCAATATTTCAATTCGTCTTCTTTTTTGCATAATTATGAGTTTACTGCTTCATGTATACTGGAGGAATAAGATGAATTTTGAATATATGTTATTAGAAAAAATGAGAAAAAATTATCTAGCCCTCCCACTCCAATGAATATTCTAGTAGAACTTCCTAGGGCCTTGGCCATATGAAGAGCACACACCTATTACTAAGATTTGATTAAAGCTGGATCAGAAGCCTTTTGGACATATATCCTATAAACTACACTTGTAGCAGATTCTCAAATATTAATCCAAGACTATCTTGTGCTCCCATTCATGGAACTACTGCATGAGCCAGAGCAGTAAGATTCATTCCCTTTTATAAAGAGCTCAATATGAGATCTCCCAAGGCTTGATCTTGCGAGGTGCTGAGTGTCAGTGAAATAACAAAGGCACATGTTCCATCGCTGAAGGCAGCACTATTCAGACACTTAAACATTATAGACATATTTGCACAACAATTATTTTTGAAACTGGCCTCACTCATGCTGTGCCAAGGTTTCAACTTATGCTGGAACCCTGCCCAGCCCAATGGCTGATGTATTTGAGTATAAACAGAGTGTACATGGATTTGCTTGCTAGTTCTTTTCATAGTAGAGTTTTTTCCTTAATTTTTTTTAAACACTGGTGCAATTTGCAATTTCTTGTGGAGAAGCAGTTTCTCCTAAAATCAAGAGAGTTCAGAACAGTGATCAAGCACCCACATAGAAGTTTAAATTAGAAAATCATGTTGCACATTCATGTTTGATTTCTTTTGATTAAGAGCCTTTCCACTGGTGTCTTAAAAATAAAGCTTCCTGTGAAAGGACAGTTCAAAACTGTGTAGATCTCTCACTCAACAACATCAGAAAACTTTTCCTGAGAGCTCAATTGGCAAGAATTATTGTCAGCTTATTTCCTAGTGGACCAGTATTATACAGAGAATTCTATTTAACTCATTTCAAGAACACACACCAGTCTTCAGAATCCCACCAGATGTGAAAATGATGCCTTCTTATTCCTAAATCTCCATTACTTCATTAATCAATATCTTTTGTCGAAGTCCAATATGAACAGTCAACCTCTTCCACTTTTTTTGATAGTATATCTAGACTAATAAAGTAGGAAGGGACATATGCGTATAACAGAATTAGACTTATTTCTCTCTCACCCCAATTCCAATTCCTTTTGTACTATAGATATAGCATAAAAAGTGTGGCATTCAAGATGTGCAGTTTAGCTTCTGGAAGTAATGTGATACTGACTAAAAGCAGCAAGAAAAGGTTAATCCATAAATTAAATAGTGTCAATGGATGGGCCCAACCAGCTTTTTCACTCAATCTCACCTAATTGCCCTCCTTACTCCACTCCTCCCATTGTGCATGCTTTTGTTCATGCAGGACCTATAGTTCCCAGTATAACCCTTTACCCTGGCCTCCCTTTTTCACCAGTGGAAAAGCTGGTTGGAAAGTTCAAATGCAGTCACTCAGTCACTTCTAAGCAAAGACATACCTTAAATTCTGCTATTGTTCTATGATGGTTGCACATATTCCCCAGTAGGTTGTATGGACAAGCAATACCGATTTTTTAAAAAACGGGCTGAAGAGCAATGTAAATACATATCCTTATTTCATAGCACCAAACAATGTAAAACAAAACCCACTGATGCAATCTTTACCATGTTATAGCTCATCCCCATCATCTGTACTAAAGCTGCTTCTTCGGCTGCTCCCTTTGGATGCACCAGGAGATATGGAAGACAACAGTGGATCTGTCCCAAATGGTGATATTGTATCATCCAATAAGATGTCATCTAATTTTTGTTCTTTCAATGCAGCACTGAATGACAAATCCGTAAAATGTGAAAGTGGATCAGAAAAGGCTGCAGATGCATCTCTGAAGTCAGAGTGTTGTTCATGGGCCACTGCAAGATGTTGAGAATAGTTGACGGAATTGTCTTCTGGGAATGCCTGCTGTTTTGTGACTTGGGATGTTAAGTCTACAGCACTGACTGAAGACATAATTGGGAGGCCATGAGCTTGTGCCTGTATTTCTAGTTCCTGTGGTTTGAGACAAGAAGATTTAGACTATCATTCTAGAAAGCAATTTGATTTTTTCAGTGTAAGTTATATAAAAATGTGAATGATATCTTAATAACACTTAAATTAACAATCATTGCAAAATCTGTTTTGACACCACGCTGAACATACAAAGCACAGATACTGAATGAAATGGTAATAAATGACAAAGTGAGTTCTACTCAACACTAATTAACACAGATACCCCAATGGTATATATGACATAGATTGCTTTGTTGCTTGTTTTTGTTGCTGTTGCTGTTATAGTCACAGGTGTCCCAAACCCCTCAGTGTTTACAGCAGACTCATTCATTGTTATCTGAAACATGTGGTCATTTACATTGTGTATCTACTATTTACACTATGGATTCAACCTAAACAGTGTTATGTGGTGTAAAATCCTATTAAGCTTGATGTGACATTTACAGTGTAATCCTAAGCAGAGTCACACCCTGCTGTGTCAACTATTGCCCCCCCCCAATCGGAATAACGAGACAGACAACAGTTTGGAGTAAACAAGGGCCACTTTATTAACTATTTAACATAACATTGCGGCAAGGGACCAGCTAAGCAAGCACAGAACAGGCAAGGCAGGTGTCATTCCCTTGACCAACCTCCTTGCCCTTTTCTCGGGCGGGTCACCCAGCTCTGGTCTTGAGCCATTGGTCTGGCTCACGACCGGCAACCCAGCAAACTGGTCACCACCTAGGAGCGCCTACCCCTGAAGCCTGACAAATTGCAGGGAGGAGCATATCCTTAGAGGTTCCCAGAGGAGGTGATCACCATTCCCCACCCTGGACCTGAAAATCTGAAGGCAGTTCCTGATGACCCCCTGTTCCCTAATGGGGAAAATGCCATAAGGTGCTCACTAGTTCCGGTTTCTTGCCCGCACCAACCTGCCAAGTGACCAACCTACTTAAATGCTGACCACCACATCCATCACTTCAATCCGCTGCTCTCAGTGCAAGGTAGGCGAAAACACCTCCACCCAATCTGCCAATTTCAAGTAAAAGTGAAAAATTCCTACCTGGCCCCAATAGGCGACCAGCAAAAGCCTGCACTAAAAACAGGGTGGGAGGGTGGGCGAGCACGAGTCAGCAACTGTCTGGGCAGGAGCAGAGCCCAGCGGTTTAGCCAAGCCAGCTCTGCCCACCTCACCCATGTCATGATGCCATGCGTCATGATTCTGTCGCTGCCCCGGCTCCTCTGGGGTGGCAAAACAGTCCCCGGACCTCATTGATTTTGCTGGGAGGCCGGGAACTCCAAAGTCTATAGGCTTAAAAGGTGTAACTCTGCTTTGGATTTCTCTGTTATCCACATATTTAAATTTCAGTTTCACTCAGTTGGTCTCAATGCCAAGCTTTGGCAGGATTGTGTGTTATGAGTATGGCCAGCCAAAATTACAAATTTTGGAGTCAAACTGATTTTAATCAGGGATCCTTGACCACCCAACATTTCAGTCTGAGATATTTGTACACCAACTACAATAAGCATAGTTGCATGTTCAACATCCAGTTAGATGTGTGTGAACTGTTTGCATATTTCTATCATGTAAAGAAAACAGTAATACATGTGCAATATTACATATAAATGCTTTCCCGTAGCTTCCTTTTCTAATTTATGTTTCCTCCCTGTCTGCTGTTTGCCCCATTCTTTAAATACACAAAACATTAACTCCTCATATTATGTAACTTAAATCTGAAAGGTGTCTCCCTGTGTTCTGCTTAACTCTGTGATCATTAACAGCAAAGACTGGCAAATGGCAACGGCTAGAGATGAATCCATTCACACATCCACATCCACACATCATTCCATGAGTGCTGTAGTCCCCCCCTTTTCCTCCCAAATCTGCCAAACTCTAGTTGTGATGGGTTTCTTGGGACTCAATGTTTTGTTTTTCTAACTATATTCTTGGCCCTGCCATGACTGCCAAGAACATTATGCCTGGTGTTTGTTAATACAAAAAGCAGGCACACTGTGTGTATCAGGAATAACTCACCCATGCACATTCTGAGATTAAGTTAGGAAAGTGGTAGTTATTTTTTAAGGGAAGACTTATTTGCAGCCATGTGATTCTTGTCCTGCATTATGAAAAAGAGCTGTTCCAATTCACTGCCTGTAACATGACCCTGTAGCATATGAATCAGTGTAGGCAGGAAAGCCTATAAATGCAGCTACTGCACAGGTACAAAGTTACTCAAAATGGTGCTCATTCAGATTTTGAGAAAAAAAACATAAAGGTTTCATTTAGGGGCTCAATTTGTAATGAAAAGTTCAATCATAGTGAGTCCAAATATTTACTGTTTTCATTTCAAGATTCCCAGCATCTATGTTCAAGTAACACTCAGGAAATGCCTGGCTGGATCATGCCTTTTACTAAGAATTAAGAAGTTATTTTAAAAATTCTACTGGCAAATTCTACTGGCATTTCTACTTGCTAATTATCTACCAAAATTTGGGATTCTAGCTAGAAGTAGTACAGATACCTTACCCAATTAAATATGTTGTAAATCATGAGTGATCTGTTACAGTAAGCCAGGAGAAGATGATGTGCAATTTAATTTAATGTGGCACAACGTATGCAAGGTAACACAATGTCATGGATATTTTTCAAAGTGTAAAATCATATAATGGAATCTTCAATGCCCAAATACTGTTTTTGACCAACAAATAAATCCTTTTCCCATCCACTGTCATTTCAACATGGGTATAATCTACTGGAAAGCTGCATTTTTAAAAAGATGTACATTACCTTTCAGACTACACTTAATAGCCTTGGTATTTTACTGTCATTATAATGCAATACATATGTAGGTATAAGGATGCAGAAAAATTAACTCATTAATGCAAAAAGTATTTCCAGTGAGGTGACAAAACAAAAAATGTTGGTGTATAAAATCTGCAGAACTTTGCCCAAAATAAGTACATTCCCATACAAACCTTAATGCGTAGTAAAAGTCGCCTGTTAGCCTGCTCTAATTTCTTCTGTCTATGTTCTAATTCTCTGGCTCTTTGTTGTTCTTTTTGTAGCCACTTGATATACTCCACTGATGCTTTTAAAATAGTTCCTTTGTTCCAGCGCATATCACTGCAGAAAGTAGAGATAACCTTTTCACAATTGTGCATGTCAGCAAAATTCATAAGAACGTACAAAATCTTTTACATTAATATGAAATAATGATTTACATGACCATTATTCAGTCTTAGATATTATTGCTTCTGAATGGAAATTTTAATAGAATAGTTAAGAAGCCCTTATATAGTAAAATTAATCCCAGAATGAAAATAAGTGTCAAAAGAAAGTAATAAAGTGACTTTTTGTGGGAGAGCTAAATGCAATATCATGATTCTACCATTACAGTTTTTATATTTTTAGTGAAAATTGCTTTTATTATTAACTCTAAGATTAAAATCTATGTGCAGTATTTCTGCATTAATGAACTAGGAAACATACATTACTAAGAATTTAAGCCTAAATTTTTAAAGATCATTTCAAATATACTACGCTTTTTACCAGACTTTCTAATGAGGATGCTTTTATGCTTATTAGAGAAAAAAGTCTCACTTAATTCTGAACCTCACTGATGATGATACACAGAAACCAGAGTTTTGCAAACCATTCCATGTAATATTACAAAACCTCTATGAATTGAGATCAGCGCAAACTTAAACAAATCCTCATTCTTGATATGCACTGCACCAGCCTACTGTCCTTATGTACATTGCATCAACAGTGTATACAAGAGCCTGAGCCTTTCCCATCATGGCTCCTACTCCATGGAATGAGCTCCCTGAAGAGGTGAGGGTCCACCATCTCACTGGAAATCTTCAGAAGGCAGCACAAGACTTCTTTGTTTGCCAGGGTATTGTCAGCTGGCATCTTAAGAGGTATTTGGGCTTCTTATTTCATTTGGTTTTAATCTATGTTTTATTATTTGGATATAAGCCACCTTGAGACAAGAGGAAAGGCAGGGCACATATATTTCAACCAACCAACCAATCAATAAAAGAATTGCTTATAGAACAAATGTAATGAATGGTTGAATGAATGAAATGGGGAATAGTTGGAGGTATTGACTGGGAGTTGCTGAGAGCCTCTGGATTTAATCAACACATTGGATAAACTCAGTGGATCCAGTTAGGGTCTTTTCATAGCTTTCTTTAGGGTGTGATCATTTCCCTGATGACCTGACCTGTGACAACAGGATTTTGATATATTAGAAGGGTATTGTATTTTTTCATGACCCCCAGTCCCCAATTTGGGTCCACTCCAAGTTTAGCTGTATCGGTATTGCAATGAACAGAATGCCATTCATGTTTTATTCATAATGTTGTAATACTTTTCAGGATGTCTATAGTAATCCGAACAAAGTCTTGTTCAGGATTTAGGGATGATTCTTGCATTATATGAACAGGCACTTCCTGAGGCAATATTAGCAGCATCAGTAACAGATTAGTTTATTTTAGGCTGATATGGTAGAAAAAGTGAAAAATGTTATTCCCTAGAAGGAGCTACTAGTATGGCATTAACGTTTTTCACTGGTGATTTCATTCAAAGTGGCTTGTCAAGACAAACTTGTACTTCGCAAATAACATTCAATATTGTTATAAAAATCCTTAATTCAATCAAACATTTATTAGCTCTCGGGGATAAAAAAAAAGTCTGAAGTGTCAACAGGTACTTCATCCAAAGCATCACGGAAAGTTCCACAAATGAGTCAATGCAAAGTACAAAGTTCCAGCTGCACAGGTATCACAGTCATAAGTGGTACATACTGTTCAAGCTCCATGATGTGGCTTTACAAAGATGAAGATCTAGGCAGTAAATAATAAACTGAGCAGCTAGTATCAATGCTTTCAAGCACAGCATTTCCTGCAATTACGCCAGTCTCCTTGCAGGGGAGTGAAGCTTATATTTATAGTGCACACATTCATAGCTGTATCTCTTTCTTAAAATTTGAATACCTGATATGCAAAAATAGAGTTTTTGTGGTACCCTTTCGAAGGCAATGGGAGGGCATCCACTGCACTTCTTGTATATGGCAACAAGAGGGCACCACCTGCACTTCCTGTCCTCTGTAAACCCAGTAATCCATATTATTGCTAGTGAGGGGCAAATCCTCCCTCCTCTGATTTGGCATTGTTGGTTTTATGTTGTTGTTTTTACGAGCTTTCTTGGAGAAGTAGATCCTTTTATTATAAAGGCATCTCATTTGCACTTAGAACAGAGGCTTTTGGGTAGGAAAGTGTTTGGCATCACCCTAAGATTATACCAAGAAAACAGAGAGTAAGGCTTGCAGGGATATATAAAGAGTTTCATCTTAAACTGTAGCTGATGTGGGCTGTGCTTGGTCTAATAAAGTCAAGGACTACATATCTTCCTTGTATTTAGGGCTTAGTAGCTTTCTTGGGGGGGCTAGCCATATGATAGATGTGACATAAGCCAAGTCAGGAGTCCCCTGGCATGACTCACAGTCAGACATGTCACTGGGAAACTCACCTTACAAACTGTTTCATTGCTCTGTGTGGCTCAAAGGGCTGTGAGGCGGGAGGAGTGTTAAAGAGTGAACTTGATATTTTGCTTTATGGACTATATTTATTGCTACACACACGATGGACTGTGCACACACACACACAGGCTCAGAGATCTGTACACTTTAAGTCACCTGTTGTGATACTACACATAGAAGGTGCCTGCACAAGCCTTACATGTAAATAAGGTTTCAGTTACACAGTTACCAGCCTGGTGAAGAAGCACACACCTCCATTATTGTGATCAGTAAGAAACAACAGCTTGAGAAGAGACAGCTCTCATTGCTGAATCATTTGTGGTCACGTATGTGGCAAAACGGGGACCCGCCCTCAGCCCTGGGAGACTGGGGTGCCGTCCTGTGGCTCGCAAGCCCCTGTTTTGCCCTTCCCACCCTGCCTGGTGGGACTATTTCTCTTCATTAAACGCGGCCACCACTCACTGAATTGAGTTACCGCCTTCCTTGAGGGACAGTGAGACCCCTCTGGCTAAATTCCCCACCTTGGGAAGTGGGTACCGCGATCTTTGGGCGCCCCCTGGAGAATTGACAACCTCACAGACTTAGACCCATTTGTGTTCCCTGGCCTCCCTTTGCCTCTGGTAATGTGCAGAGCACGGAGGACTATGTGGTTAAGGCACACCAGGCTTTTTAAACTCAAAAAAGGAAGATTTATTTAACTATATACACAGAAAATAAACACAGGCACTTCATCACAACTGGGCACAGAAAATAAACAGGATAAAAACACAATTCCTCTGTCCCTACCCACACACCCTCTCTACCTCTGTAGTGGATTGTGGCCTCAGGCCCGGATTTGTGTTTCCCCCTTCTGTTGTGGAGAGAAACTCCAGCCCTCCTGTTCAGGACTGGCCACCAGTGCTGCCACCCTCCTGGCTCTCCACCACTATCTATGGTGGCCTGGATTGCCCACGGAGTCTCTGGTGACAGGAGTCCCACCTGTACTCTCACTTGAACCTGCCGTCCACGCTGAAGACCAGGCTGTGACTCTCTTTTCCCTTCTTTCTCCTCAAGGCTGCTGGGAAGTATAGGCAGGGAGGTATGGCAGCTCCATTGTTCCCTATGGAGTACCCCCCACACACACACACATAAGGAACTACCAGGCTGGTATCCATTTTAAGGCCTAGCAGCCATTTCGTCACAATGTACGACACATCACTGCTTTGTTCCTGCATTGGTATTCCCTGCCAAATGGACATTTGGTTCACAATGAGAATGGCCAGCTTCATCAACACTACAATGGAGCATCCCGACCCTAGGCTTTCACACCTGCCCAGATGCCCTCCTTTGAGTAAGGTTTTAGATTACAATATTATAGGTAACCTCCCACTCCTATAGGCAACCAATAGGATTGTTTTTGGGACGGACTAACAGGTAGGTGGGTCCACAGGTTGGAAGAGTTACCACCCACCTCCTGGACTCCCAATAAAAGGAAAGAACCAGTCACATGGCTCTCCCTCTCATACTTGGCTAGCTAGCATCCCCTGCAGCAACCCCTGTCTGCTTTTTACTCCTCTTAAGTCCCACTTGCTATCCCCAAACCCTTGCCTCTACTTTGATCTCTTGATCGGCAGTCAAGAGACCCACACGTTCTGGCTGGTTCTGGTCGTGTGTGAACTCCCTTTAGTTTACATTTCTTCCCATCCATTCTTCATCAGAACAACTGAACTGCAAGACAGATAAGTATTGCCCACCACCACCCCCACCTGCTAATGCAACTGTGCTTATTTTAATACTGTAATTCTAAGGAACTTGATTGAATGTGTGAGTGCATCAGTATTGTTTGTATGAGATTTATTCTTTAAGTAAAAGACATTTATTTTGACAACAACAGCCTTCGTTATCCTTCTCTGGTAACCCTTGGTAGGAACAGGACCTTGGTATAAACTGGCAAGAACCCATTTATAAATTGCCAATTGCTGTAACTAAAGCAATTTGGCTAAGAGGAGGGACTTCTGCCTTCCCTCCCACACTGTTTCCCTTGCAAAAAGCTGAGGGGGCTGTTTTGCCCTTCCTTGGGCATAGTGTTCAGGGATCCATCAGATGAAAAGCAGCTTTGGAGGAGGGCACAATTTGAAGGGGGGAAATAGGGTAGGGCAAAGGTTAAGTACACCCACATACACTTCTCACTTATAATCATCCCCTCAAACTGCTTTTCTTTTTAAAAAGAATTGACTTCATTATACACATCTGCATGGATTGAGCAGTTTGACCATGGAACAGAACTGTTATGGCTGACCTGTGATCATCATCTCTATAAAATCGTTCATATATAATACCTTGCTTATTCTTATAAACTTACTTGACCATACAATGTGGACATTTTACAGGGACAGCATAAATTACTCAGAGCATGATATTACCTTGGCAAATTCTCCACCCCGCAGCTATAATGTTCAGTATGTCTTACCACAGGGATCAGAAGAATTACGTAGAGTGATAGTCACCATATATCATTAGACACAAACTTAAGACATTACCACTAGATGTCCACTAGAAGAAAAACCAACATGAAAATAAGACTATCCAGTTTAAACCTAACATCCAGCAAATCAATTTTATCCTTTCCTTCTTATGTTGTATTTTAAGTTGTAGAAACGAAGACAGAAATGACAGCTGAACTCACGGATCATTAGACTTTGGGATAAGTGTTCCAAGCTCCTTGATCCGATAATTAATGTTGTACCTTCTTCTTCTTTCAACTAGAAAAACAAGAGGTTGTGATAACAACTGAATGTAATTAAATATATTTGAAGATATTGAAACAGTTTTGGGATATGTTATTTCAAAATAATTTTTTTTCAAATATCCCAAAGATCACCTCATCCAAAAATTCTTTATCCCAGATAAAAACAAAATTGGACTTGAATTTTGGTGCAAAGAACAGCCCCTGTCACATAGTTTCTCTGCTGTTTCACAAGGAAATGTGACAATGGCAAAAAGAACAGTTTTTAGTGATGGGATTAGTCCTTTGTGGCAATTCCAAATTTTTATTACAGTTCTAAAAAAAGTCACTGCAGCTATTAAAAAAATTAAATGGGGCAATATAAACCACTCTGCTCTTCAATGCTAGCATTTTGACTAATTATGAATACTTGGAGCTTTTTTAATATAATAGTATGCACTGCTACTGAGTACAGGCACCTTTCTTTTCAGGGCTCTCTTGAGTTCTAATCCTCATGCATTGGACCACCCCAGTCAGCCAGAGAAAAAGAAGGGAGGAAATAAGGTTTTATTTATTTATTTATTTATTTATTTATAAATTAAACTTTTAGACTGCCCTCCCATGTGCAAACAAGGCTCAGAGTGGTGAACAATAAGATACATTCATAAATTAGTAAAACAATTTAAAACAATGAAACAACACACAATTAAAACATTTCCAGATGATGCTAAAAGGTTGGGTCAGGCATGTTCAGAACCACTGGGCTGGGTATGCAGGAACCTGAGTAGGGTTGCCAGCCTCCAGGTGGGGACTGGAGATCTCCCGTTTTTACAACTGAACTCCAGCTGACATTGATCAGCTCCCCTGGAGAAAATGGCTGCTTTGAGGGGTGGACTCTATGGCACTGTACCATGCTGAGGCCCCTCCCCTCCCCAAACCCCACCCTCTCGCAGATCCACCCCCAAAGTCTCCAGGTATTTTCCAACCCAGATCTGGCAACCCTAAACCTGAGGCACTGTGGCCTGGGAGGATGCACAGACCAGGGTGCACAATGAATCATGAACATTCATTCCCTGAGCTGCTGTGTTGTCTCATGAGCCAGGTGGGTGCGGAGCCCAGCAGAAGTGGTCAAGGAGCTTGCAGGGTAAGAGGCCAGACCAGGCATCAGTGGCAGAGAAGTAGCTCATGGTTGCCTGCAATTTCTTCCTCCTTTGTGGGTGTATGGAAGGAGAAGTCTGGGTGGACCCAAAGGCCAGTTAGGGGAAGGTGGGCAATGGAGCTAGGTGCTGCAGCCCTGGACTGACAAGGACTGCTGCTGCCCTCGGAACCACACGAACAGGGAACCCAGTGGAAGAAGTGGGAAGAAAGAGGCTGGGCAGAGGAAGGAGGTGGGGGAAGATCTCAATAGAGAAGGAGGAAGTGGTGGTTGGCCGCCTGGTCTCCTTCTCTCCCTTCATCCCTTGCAGGGTAGGAAAAGTGAAATCTCTTCTTCCAAAAGCAAAAGTGTAATGCTTTAGTTAAACTTCTCAGCTTTCTTAAGGTACTTTTTGCAAACAGCATTCCTAACTTTTCTACTAGCCCCTGCTCCTACAACTTTAAGAGTAGTTTGCTCTGCAAATGTTAATACTGGTTTTCACATTGTAGAAAGGCTTTGCCGGCTTTCTGCAGATCAACCTCTTATTAGGTCAGGTATTTCCTTGCAGTTGGCAACACTAGACTAGAAGATATTAGGGTACATCTGGAAAGGTGAGTATTTAAAAAGACTGGTTCCCACCAGCTGCGGTAGATGCCACCATTTGCCCATGCCCCACCTCCTCACAAGAAAGCATGAGGGTGGGTGGTGAGCCAGTCAAAGCTCACCATGGGAAATGTGGCTAATGGGAGGCAAGTGTGTCATCCTGTTTGGTTGGCAGCAGCCTCCCCTCTTCAGTTCTACCGCTACACACTCGTGTGTGAGCTGTGATGAGGAAAGTTTGGAACAATTCCGGACATGGCTCTGAACTGGGGTGGTTTTGCCCTGTTAGGAGGCTTTCCTGGGAGGGCAGGGTAGGAATTCGAAAAATAAAATAAAAATAAAATAAAACCATGCTTTAAGGTATTAATCAGGTTACGCAGATCAGCTCATTTATAAATCAAGTAAATAAAGTTCCATAAACTGTGTTGAGTATCATTCGAGGGGCGAGCAGGCAAACAGATTTGTACCCAGATCCAGGGGTCATCTCATAGAAAAAGAGGTGCAGGAGCTCATTAGCATAACTCATTAGCATAACTTATTTGCATATGCCACACACCCTGACATCACCGGAAGTGTGTCAGAAGGCAACACCCACTGCTCAGGCACCACTGGACTGTTTTGAATTGCTAGCTATTGGCGGGGGGGGAACGTCATATCTGTCCTCGCAGAGAAGGGAGAGCTTGTACCTGAATAAAACTTGGTCTTAAAGGTACCACTGGATTGTTTTGGACAGGCGGGCCGGGGGGGGCTCTGCAGCTTACCTGGCTGCTTCTTGCTCTGACTGAGGGCTGCTGGGAGCAGGGAGTGGGGCCTGTTGCATGTGCCCACCCCCTGGGCTCTTTACTGCCAGAGCTCCGCTTCTGTGCGCTCCTGCAGGAAATGACCCCTGCCCAGATCCACTCACACTACTGCTTTGAACCAGCAGATAGCCTTAGATTAGGCACAATGCAGCTTCTCAGTCTCAGACTATACTCTGGAGGTAATAATGCTGATCTACTTTACAGGGCTGTTGTAAGGATTACAGTTAATGGCCTGTATCCAATCACACCATTAAGAAAAATTAATTACCCCTTTCTTAAGAGGGGGCAGCAGTGATGACCCTCTTTTGTTGCAGCCTACTGAGCCCTCCAAAATATTGTTCCTGCAGGTTAGTGGACCTTCAGGAACAGCCTAGTGGGGATCTGCAGAGGTAGGGGGGGGATTGGCGGAAATTGGCACAACCTTCTATATGAGTACTGGCACCTTTTCCCCCTCAAATATCAGGTAGATATACACAGAAGAAATTGTCGTGGCATATGTCTTTTCATGTCAGGAAAATTATTCTAGCAGGCAGGGAAAAGGTAATGAGTGCATTATCTAGCCATTATCACCTGGACTGATATATTTAAACTTTCAGCTTGCAAACCTCAATACTTATTGAAAGCTTTCATTTATTGTTTTACAAATTACTGTATGAAACAGCTAGAAACGAATTGTACCCCATTGCTTCACAGCAAGAGTCATATACACATTTCTTTGATCTACATACATAAGTACCTTCAAGAAACAACCAACTAATAGCAACCCCAGCAAGGCAAGTGAGCGGCAGAAGTGGTTTGCCATTGCCTTCCTCTATAGTGCTTTCCTTGGTGGTCTCCCAATTCAAGTACTGACCCTGCTTAGCTTCTTTGATCTGAAGAAATCAGGCTATACAATGCTGCTTAGGAAACAATAATTGCAAGATGTTGCTTTCTTTTCATTTTGAAAAATATTTGCATTTTAAATTTACCTGTATTTATTACATGAAGAACTTACAATGGCTTAACCTAACTAGGGCTGTGGTCAGATGTGCCATTTGCCATGGAGGGGAAGCACCCTATTTTCTCTGAAGGAATTTGACTCGCAGTCTCGTGATCACACACCCCTTTGTGCTGTGGGATCAGCCCATCACTGTGTGATCAAATGCCACCTCAGGCAAGTGGAGTATTTTTGCCTTTTGTTTTCCATGCACATAAACTAGGGATAGAACCCCAATGTGGAGCGTTCCCCATGGAGTATGCAGTTATGCGAATACTGCTAAGCAAGGGGGAAAACAGCACCAAGTCAGGATGGAATGAGCAGACCATCCCGATGGTTCAAGAGTGTGCTTGAGCAATCAGACTAGGGAAAATCTGTCCATGGCCCATTGAAAAGTGTTAGGACCGGACTTTTCCTGGTGTCTTTTAACTCCATTTCTGTGGCAGGGCAGCATAGGGTGCAGACAACTGTGGGACTTTTCCCAGATGTTGCTGTCTGATTCTACCCTTCAGATCCATCAAGCATTCACAGCTGTCGGATCCAATGTTCCCACTAAGCTGTGAACTGTTGTGAGCAGAAATCCTACCTTGTGAGCCAAAAAAACTAAGAGCATAAAAGTTGTGAGTGAGCCTAATTATTTTTTTAAGAAAAATAAATTTAATTTAAAAAACAAAATATATGAAGAAATGGAAAAAGGAAAGAGAAAAAAGGGAAAGAAAGTAAGAAAGAGAAAGGAAGGGGAAAAGGGAAAGAAAAGGAGACAAGGGAATGAAGGAAAGAAAGGAAAATAAATGGAAAGAAAGGGAAGGAAATTGAAAAAGTGAAAGAAGGAAAAGAAAGAAAGGGAAAAAGTGAAAGAAAAAATGGAAAGAAGGAAAAGAACGATATGGAAGGAAAGGGGAATGGAAAGAAAAGGAAAGAAAGGAATGGAAAGAAAGGAAAAGAAAGAAGTGGGGGGAAATTGAAAGAAAGGGAGGGGGAAAGTGAAAGAAAGATATGGAAAGAAAGGAAGAAAGGGAAAGAAGGAAAACAAAGAAAGGGGAAATGGAAAAAATAGAAGGGGAAGAAAGAAATAGAAAGAAAGCAAATAGATGGGGAGAGAGGAAGGAAGGAAGGGGTGGAAGAAGAAGAAAGAGGAAATAAAGAGACCCCCCCTCTACTGGTGAGCAGCCATTTCAACCCTCCCTTTGGCTCCCCCCCTTCTAAGTGGGGGGAGCCAAAGGGAGGGCTGAAATCGCTTCCTGCCCTTTAAAGCCAGCAGCCTTGCAAATCTGCCTGTCAGCTGCTGGCTTTAAAGGGTGGGGCAACCATTTCAGGGATCCCTTTTCCTTCCCCTACATTTAAACTGAGGGAAGCAAAAGGGAGCCCCCCTTTGCTTCCCACCCTTTAAAGCCATCAGCCAGTGGGTCCACCTGCTGGCTGCTGGCTTTAAAGGTCACGCAGCCATTTCAGGGCTCCCTTTCACTCCTCCCTGCTTCTAAATGGGGGGAGTGAAAGGAAAGCCTTGAAGGGGTTCCTGCCCCTTAAAAATAGCAGCCAGCGGGTGGAGTCATCAGCTGCTGGCTTTAAAGGGCACACAGTCATTTCAGGGCTCCCCCCCCCCTCCAAGCAGGGAGAAGCAGAAGTGAGCCCTGAAACTGCTACCGGCCATTTAAAGTGAACAGCTGACTGGTGGACCCCACTGTTCTCTTTAAATGGCTGGCAGCTCCTCTTCCTTAGGGGAAGGAGACCTCATTCAGTGCAGGGGGGAAGGCTTGGCTTTTTTGTCTCTCCCCTGCACTTGAGGTAATCAGGTGGGGTGGGGCAATGGTGAGTTTCCTGGCCCTGCACTGAGCTGCAGATCTGTGCACTGGGGGCAGGGAATCTGTGAGCCAGCACAGGCTGGCGCAGCTTAAAGGGAACACTGATCGGCTCTAAAGACACATCTGACTGCAGCCTAGAATAAAATTTGAGTCCAGTGGCATCTTTAAAACCAACAAAGTTTTATTCAAGGTATAACCTTTCGTGTGCATGCAAACCTCCTCAGACCCATTGAAATGGAAGTTACCAGTCCACACATATAGGTAGACAGTGAGCAACAAATTAGCACAAGCATAATAAATGGTGTTTAACAGCTGCAAGGACCAAACTGGAATAACAAGCTTGGGTTATATAGTCACCATTTGTTTGGGTTTAATTCCAGGGAAATAAATAGTGAAGGAAATAAATATATCAGAATTGGAGATAGATGGGCAAATCTATCCTTCTTAATTGTGGAACTCTGGGAGTAATTAACTACAGAACTTAAAGCTGCAGGCACACATCATGATTGCTAAATACAGTTATATGCATGGGGGAAGAAATTTTGAAGAGAATATTGCTAAATTTTTCAGACACTAAAGATTTCTGAAAATAAACAAGAAGTAGCCCATGAAGCAAGGAGGTGGTTAGACAGTCAGATGACAAAGAAGTGAAAGTATTTCTAAGACAATAGGGAGATTGAGAAAAACTGAACAAATTATTTGTACCAGTCATCATTGTTTTGGTCAGATAACTAGTCATGTTCAGAGAAAAGATCTGAAGAACTAAGAAACGCAGATGAAACATTCTAGAGCTAATTTGCTAATTAAAAATGAGCAATCCTAGTCCTTAAAGAACTCAAATGTAAAACTGCTGATTTGCCTCACCAGCACTCATTACGTATTTTGACTTTTGACAAAGTCTGCAGGGATCTGTACTATTACTGGTTCTATTTAATTTATTCATAAATGGCCAGGAGTCAGCAATGAGCCATGAACTGCCCATGTTCACAGATGATAGCACATTATTCGAGATGGTAAAAATCCAAGCAGACTGCAATAAGCTCTGAAAGACTCTCTCCAAAGTGAGTGAATGGTCAACAATATAATACATATGCATTGATAGTGTCTGCACTGGTGGTGTTTTAATTAAGGCTTGTATAAACACACCATGACTTGTACAAATAGTCTCTCCAATAAGTAGGCAAAAATGCTATGGAAATGAAAACAAAATGGTAGGTGTCATTTATGGAAATGGGGATGAGGCTGCACATGGATTCTTCTGACAAGCTTTCTCTGGAAAAGAACCAGTCCAACTTTTCTTCAGCATCAGCAAACAACTTATTCTTGTAGAATCTCTTAACAGTTAGCAGTAACAGAAGTGTAGAACATACTCACTGAGATTATGGTTATCCTTTTTTTGCCTCTCCTTGGCCATGGCTCGTGTATCTGTTTCTGACAGAAATTAAACACTATTTAAATATTCTTTGGTCAAAGTTCCAAATATTTTTGCATTGTCACCATGAGCCCATTTCACTACATGGAAGTTTTCAGAAAAGGCTTTATTTCTAGACACAGATTGAAAAAAGATCACTTTGCCATGCCTTTGCAGATTCCTATCATTGCTCCTTACAGCCCTTTTTAGTGGTGGATTACTTGCTGTTGTTTGGTAACTGTAGCCATACATTTTTATTTTTAGAAACTAAAAATAGTCTTCAGCATTTAAAAAAATTCTAATTTGCTGTACTTTACACTGGGGGGGAGAGAATGTCTTAAATTAACTTTAAGTGAACTTGAGTTCCATGTCCCATCATGCAAAAGATAATCAGATTTCTAAAATACTTGCATGAGAGGGGATAACCCCTCTTTGTTCCCTTACAATTATACTGATAAACTGTGTATGGTTGTTAGAATTCTTTGGATTAATTAAATGTAACTTTTAACATTAATCCATTCATACAGATTTTTTTCTTGAATAGCTGTATTATGGCCTTTAAAAAGAGTGATTTGTGGCAACCTAGAACAAATTTAATGGATGATAATATAGTTATACTATTGATCAGAAGCCAAAAATATGTATAAATCAGCTACGTTTCATAAAATAATTAGGCGTTTTAGTAGAACAATGCACAGAAAAATCACTGCTCTGGAATTGTTCATATAGAGGGCAGTGCTCAAGCATGTCTCACTGTGTGGGGATATTATGTCTTAGCAAAGCTGGTCACAAAGTTATCTCCAACTTCACCAAGACAGCATATCTGCTACAGTGAGTGATGGTAGTTCCCTATCTACACAACTTCTAAGCAGTGATCTCTTTGAACATCATGCTGCTGAAAAGCTAGCTGTTCTATGAAAGACAGTTGAGTTAATGCCTATTTTGACCTCTGATTAAGAGTATAAATAAACGTATCACTAAAATCAAGCTTCATTTCAAAGGATCCATAGCGTGATCTGAAAGCACCTGATAATTCCATCTATCAAGACAAGTCAGTCTTGGTCCAATTACAGGGTAATGCTACACAGAATTATAACTTTCTAAGGCCATTATTTCAATGGCTTTAGTAACATGTGACTGCTTAAGTTTGCTCAGTTAGCATCTGAATGGTAAACAACCCATGTTCTAAGCCTCTTGGAAGAAGGGCAAAATATAAACACAACAAAATTAACAGAAAGACAGAAATATCTCTAGGCTTATTTTCAGCTCTGAAATAGCAGCTCAAAAAATAACAGTTTTATGACATTATAAACATGCTCTGGTTTATGCTTTAGTGGATTTCCAGGTGAAAAGGTGTGACACTGGAGAACAGCCAACTCAAGCGTACACCCAAAATTGCTTATAGCATGTTACTCCTTAGCTTACTTTTATTCTGATGTTCACATGTATGGTTTTTGAAATGATAAAGACAGGGATCTGCTTCTATTACACTTTAGTGAACGTAAATTAATATGGATTAATTTAATGCTTCCTATGGGGCTAGAATTCTCTTTTTCATGGTGTTACACCTATTCAGTAGTTTTTGTTGTTCATTTTTATGCACATAAACTATCTTTGACTGACAATGGAGACTGCAATGTAGAATAAGGGAAGAGTCAGTCTCTAGCTAGATCCATCTAAAATGTACATTGCAAGTAAAACAACCCTAGTGCCTGACAATTTTTATAAATGAGAAATCCTTATTTATCAGAAATTCCCTTTATCCTATTAAGCACTGTTTAAACAGTCTTTGTGTTACAGTTGGTGTCCTCTTCAGCATAAGGACACTCCTTCAGTGGCAAAAGATTCTAAGAGTAACTCTTGTGTAACATAGCTATGTTACATAATGGCTAAGTAAAAGCACTTTCCCACCATTTCAAGGGCAATCAAAGGCAAGCAAGGTACAACTTCATATCCTAATAACCACATTAGAACCCCCGTGTAGACTCACATGAGATGCTGCTGCCTATTTATTTATTGAAAATAATTATATTCCTCCCATTGGTCATTACAAACAGCTAAAACATCTGTAACAATCATACTTAAAACCCACTACTCAATAACAACAAAAAGTAGAAAAAAACAGAAACTATGGATTGGATCCTGTGGTAAATCTCCATTGATATAAAGGATTTCCATCAATGGAATGTGACTTTCTCATCTCTTCCCTCTGGCTGCATCCCAAAATTAACCCCAAAGTGTTGGTCCTGGGTAACAGGGACCCCTAAAAAGAGTATGAGAAGACACCAGGCGGGGACATGTCTGTAGTGGAAAGGGGGAGCTGAAAAAATCAGTACACTTGTTGAAGCTTTCCATGGGATCTAACCTGCTTCATACAACATTTTAAAGGCATAAGCAATACAACAGATTGTAAAAAACCATCAGTCACATTCATTAAAACTACCATCAGCAAAATTAAAATTAAAGCTGCAGAGGGGGAAAAATGGGGCTGATGAAAACAGAACTCCAGGGTTTTTACTGGGGAGATGGAGATACATAGGACCATTAAGTACATTGTGGTAAGGCCATTTAGAGCTTTAAGAATCAAAATGAACACTTCAAAATGTGGCTGTATGATACATGCATTCTGCAAACACCGCAGCTATTTGGCATTATACAGACAAAACAGGCAGACATTGTACAGTGTGGCAGATATGATCTGACATGTATTCAGTGATTTTCAAAGTCACTGTTTTCTACAGCAAACTTATGTATTCAAATGGCTTCCAAGTTCCACCACTCTTAAAACATAGCTCTGCCTTTGCTCTAAATATATCACAAACATTTCCATTGTAATGTTCTTGAAAAGCAAGTACAATGATTCTCAAAAGGATTACACTATGCCAACATCTATTACCTGTGATTTCCCTTTTCACAGGCAAATTAGATGGACAGGAAGTATTGGTGAGACCCATATTTGCATTTGGCATTCCTTGGTCACTGTTGTATATATCCAGAATGCTACCTGAAAGCTGCAAGGACAGGAAAATATAAAGAGAGATGAGGAGAAAGAGAGCGACAAAAATTAGAGGATGAAGAAATCAAAATTAATTCATGATTGGTAAGGTGAAAAGCATGTGTAGGCACTTAAGAGCAAAATTCCTGTTCAGATGCGTATTCATGACTTAATCGAAGTGGGAGCAGCAAATGTGCATCTAAAGGCAAACTTTGCCCTTATCTTGTATAAAATAAAATTAAATGTTAAGGGTCAAAGATTGCCATTGTTCTGTATGCAGAAACTCGAATGAGGCTGATGTGAGTTTTATATGCAGAATGATGCCTGGTTATGGCCCCTGATGTCTGATTTTGAATTAATGCCATAGCATATTTTCCAATAACAGGATTACTGCAACTACACTTCAAATATGAGTCAAGTTGAAAGGGAAAATAACCTTGCTGGTCTTACCTGAGACCCAAGTGAATTCTCAACTGCCTCTCTGAACTCAGAATTCATTTCTCAAATTGTTTATGCTTCATACAACATTTTAAAAAAGAAGAGAAGCAGTGATTCCAAACATTTTATAATGGGACTGGACAAAGCATTGCAGCATGGAGACTATGCTATGGGCAACTGCATAACAGGGGTACCAAGAGAGAGCTCCTATATATGCCTAGGTGCTACAACAAATAGGGTTAGATCCAGTGGAAATTTTGGCTGATGGAAGGATGGAGGAGGAGGGGTGGGGTTAGGAAGTCCTGCTTTGCTGACAGAAATCCCTTCCATCAGTGAAGATTTTTTATCTGAGGGATCCAACCCATAGTATTTTTTTCTACTGCATCATATGAAATGTTTAAAAACCAAAGGGTTGAGAATATTCAAGATCAGCGTGTCCTTTCCTGATGAAACTGACATCATATAAAGCTTGGTTCACATAGAAAGAAGGACTAGAAATCGTTACAGTCTCTTATTTGTCTGCTACAAATGTTACTCTGTTACTCAATGTGGTTACATCTGCCTATGAAGTAGGACAAAGTGCTTGAGGGCCAGGATGCTGAGCTTCCTAGTGGAGTGGTAAGATTGGTTGTTGTGTGCCCCCAGGTACCCTCAAAGCATTCACAGTCTACACGAGAACTAGTATGGTATAGTGGTGAGTGTCAGACTAGGATCAGACTCAGGTTTGAAGCCACACTCTGCCATGAAACCTTGCTGAGTGACCTTGGGCCACTCACTGTCTCTCAGCCTAACCTACATCACAGGATTGCTGTGAGGATAAAATGGAGAAGAGGGAACTGATGCTGAAGCTGCTTTGGTCCTATTGGGAAGGAAAATGGAGTATAAATAAATAAATTATACTTCAGATATTCTTGGGTAGGGTGCAGAGGCAAAGGCAACTATGAAACATGCTTTGTGATCAATTCCAGATGAATTTATAATTGCTGGTCAGATACAAACTATTTTTATCACTTTCTCTACAAAGTGGACTCATTGGGCTTCATGAGACAATAGGCTCCTCAAAATAAGGGAGGAAAAGGCACTGTAAAAAGAAGTAAAAATGGAAAGAGTATACCAAAATGCCCTAATATCCCTTATTGTCCAGAAACTGATTTACATGAAGGACCCAAGTAATTGCATGAATAAGAAAACAGTTACATCTACTGGAATTGAACAGAGGAACTTAAAATAATGAGAGAACAGGGACGTGGTACTTGTAGATCTGCCCCAGTGAAAAGAAGAAAAATAGGAAATGGCAAGAAGGGTTTCATTTGGGAAATTATACAGACAATGTTTATGAACAGTAAAATTGCTTTTTCTTATACATCATCCACGTTTCTGTCACTCTAGGAAAACACAAACAATGTATTTTGTGCCCCTCAAGATTTTTGCAGTGTCACCCTGTGCCTTTCATAGTTTTCAGGCATTTTATTTTGAATGTCTACACTGAGTGCTCTTCTTCAGCCTTGCATAATCTGTGCAAGAGGCACATACACCAGATCTGGAGATCTTAGGACTGGACCAGAAACACTGCTCATACAACCTGTAAGCATGCCTGCATATCTTCTTGCTGAGAATGATGGGCAGAGCTCTTCTCAGGGGGCCATGAGTAAACATTTCTCTGCTTCACACTACTGTTTCTCCGACCTCTGTTTGTTAACCTTCTCAATCTATACCAAAAGGCAGAATATTTGCAAAGAACAGGAAACTGGCATTTCTGTTAAATTCTGAAGCTTATCAAGTGACTCTGGCCCAGTCTACTTCTGAGCCTTACTCCATAGAATGGATGTGCAGATAACATAAATGAGGAAATGAGTGTTTTATCCCCTAAACTAGCAAATAAGTAAACACACTACACTAGCAGAATGTGGAATGAAACTCATATGCTATCAGTTCATAAATTGCAGTCAGATACCATCAACACCATTATTTAAAATAAAATGTGAATGGCAGTCGGAATCCCCATATACCTTTATTTTAAGTCAGTTTCAGAAAATTCACTTATATCTTTTATGTCTTAATGGAGATAGACAGTAAAGACTGTTCAGAATCCAGTTCTATATTACTCAGGAACAAGCTATATTTAATACGCAGGATTTGAAAGCTATGCACATTTCTACCAGGAGCAGCATTATTTAATTCCTGAATAGTGAGTATTTTTATGCTCATAATTTTCTTTTATTTCTTTTTTTTTAATTGTTCTGTCTCCTTTCAACCTTAACCGAACTATGACAATCGAGTTTACATGTACATTGGAAACAGCTCTGGCTTGATATTTGTGTAAAATGGAAACAGATAGTGAATCCACAAAAAATATAAGATTTATGATATTCCTGGTTACTTGGATCCCATGTTTAATGCCTCTGAGATCAATAACAATGTAATACATCAGGTTTTTATATGTCAATCCTTTTTGGGGGAAATTATAGTTATTAATGCAAGTGTTTTTACATACAAGTACAGAACACAGATATGAGTTTTTTAAGCAGATAAGAAAACACTTTGCTTCACTCCAGTGTGTAAATCATAATTTTGAAAATCTCTTTCTTGCCCCACCAGGATCTTCTGGCACAGCAAGTCTTCCTTTTTCTCTTCTTGTTACATGTTGCTGCTGAACATTAAACGTGTACAGCACGTTCTACCCCAATACATGGGAGGTAGACTAAAATTACATCTCTTACATCCCCTTTTTTATAATGCCATAATTGTGGCTGCCATGGAGACTAAATCATACAAAGTTGGTCAGGAGGGAACAGGAAAGAGGGTTGCATACATATGGTAGTATATGCTAAAGCAATAGTGTTCAACCCATCAGTCACAAACCCTATTTGCTGGGTTGCAAACAGGGACCTTTTCATGCTGCCCCTTGGAAAGACCTACTGTTAGCAGGCATGTGTAGACAGCCACACTTCCTGGCTCTTTTACATGCACACTTAAAGGAGCAGGAGAATGGTAAGATAAGGTTATACAGTGGTAGAAAGGATCCCTTCAAGGTTCTAACCTTACTACAGAACTCCTTTTGGTGCTCAGCTTGCTTTTTTTAAATCCCCAGCTCCTTTGGTATAAAAGAGCAAGAGTCCAGTAGCAGCTTAAAGACTAACAAAATATGTGGCAGGGTATGAGTTTTTGTGAGTCACTGCTCACTTCTTCAGATAATCACAAAAGCTCATACCCCTGCCTCATATTCTGTTAGTCTTTAAGCTGCTACTGGACTCTTGCTCTTTTCGACTGCCAAAGACTAACATCACTACCCATCTTGATTTCTCCCTTGTTATGAAATCGGTTATCTCATCGTAAAACTGGTGAGGTCACTAACCCCCTTTTCCTGCCAAGTGTGTTCCTATCACATGCATACAGGTCTGTGGTTCCCAGGTCTGGAAGAATGAAGACTACTACTCTATAGTAGCACTGTCATCTACTGTGAGCCAAAGCCATGCAGTAGATAGAAAGCCTTGGATTCAAAACCATGTATAGTCCATCGGATAAGTATGGGCAAGTCATTCTCTTGCAGCCTTACTTTTCTCACAGGCTTATTTTGAAGATAAAAGACTTATGTCATGTGTACCAACCTTAGAGGAAGATCAGGATACAAATATAATTGAAGCAATAATGGAAGCAAAAACCTTACTACAACAATGAATACTTCAGAATAATTTGTGCCCAGTTGTACCACAGAAGGTAAGTTCTGGTAAGTTCTATAACAGCACATTTTTTGTAAAGAAGGGATAAATTTCTTTTAGTAGACATCTGCTGGAAATTCAATGAAACACAGAGGCCAGTACTCTCAAACATAAGAGAGACAGATTTAGATCTAGAATTTACAACAAGAACAGACGGTGTGTTCTGCTGAGTGTAGTGTGTGCCATTAAAACAAGGCTCATCTAACTGATGGAGAAGCCTCTATGTCAATAGTGCACCTTGCTGCAACAGGATGTGCCTGGGGCAGATAGAATACACTGCCTTTAGCTGAGGGAGTAATACAGATTATACCCCTTATTCTTTTCATCCCTTGGTAAGCAGCATCTAGTTTTGGAAAGAGGACAA